ACTTAATTATCGTGGATATAAAAGTGATATACAAACAAGTGATATATTTATGTTTACTATGGATTGTGATCGAGAATTAATTAGTTTAACCAATGAACGAACACGTCGAAAATATGATTTAGAAGTTGACACTGCGAAATGTCCATTTCCATGGCAACCAAATGTTCGTTTTTTATTCATTCGGAATGACTATTAATTTATTTTGTTTTCTGATAATTTCTATGTGACTTCATTTAGAAAATTTGTTATTTAATTAAATAACAAAATCGACAAATATAACTTTTAATAATGTTTAAATTCTTTTTTTTGTAGTATTTCATATGATATTGAATATAAAAAAAAATTGTTTTTGTATTGAAATTTAGTTTGCATTATTCAGAGCACTGTTATTAATCATATGGAAACATCTTTATAATGACCTAGTAAATAAAAGATATTTCAAAAGTTCAAATGAAAAAGAAACATAAAAATTTATTGATTAAATCAAAAGATTTAGATGATTTTCTAATCATTTGCTGTAAATGTTTTTTTTTTTGTAAATTTTATCCATAATATTTCAGATAAAATTTTTGTAATTATGAACATTATATTCAAAGTGATTCTAATTATACATAATCAAAAATGTGAGCTATCTATAACTATAAAATGAAAACTATCAATTGAATTTCATTAAAAACAATTACATGACAATTGGATTAAAGCTATCTCACATCATACTCTAAACTTAGGATCTCGATAGAGCGATCATATTATGAAAACTTTATAGTAATAACGAATGAAAAGTTTCGACAAAGTTCATGTTAATTGTAAAAGTGTATTGACAGTTGGTGAGGTTAATTCAAAAAGATATTTACTAACGCTGTGATTCAGTCAACAATCAGAATCAACAAAAGAAAATAACATGGTTTTCATGGAAACTCTATGTAATATCATTTATTTTCCGAATATTTGAAAATTGTTAACATATGTATTTTAGTCCTCTGAGATCATTTCGACCAGAGAAGATAAACAAAAGATTGTTGCTGCAGCTCCTTTGGGGCTGAAATGTGGAATTCACATATGCTCCCTAGTCTTATTAAATCAATGCAAAATATGTAAAGTAAAAAATCTCTCGTAGACTATAGACGTTTTGCAGAATAATCGATCACCAGAGTAAGGATCTCTCTAATTTCTGCATTTTGAACAGAAGTTTTTTGTTTTTTCTATGGCACCCTATTTTTTGTTTACATTGTTGTTATTCACTCATTATTTTTCGTGTTTTTAAATTCGTTTTTCTTAATTTAACATTCCTATTATTATAATCATTGAACTGATTGACAAAAAAGTCTATTTTACACATTTATGATATCATAGCAGATCTTACGCATCATTATATATATATTAATCAGCTCACAAATAATGATATTTATTATTTTTTAAAATCATAACTTGATCAATGCTACAAAAAACTCTGAGAAATCTGACGCCTCTTATTCTCGATTGCTAAAGTCTGTGATGGGGGTTGTCTGTAATGGGATCCGCGTTGCTAAGTGTCTATAATGGGGTGGAAGAAGGAGGAGGTGAGCTGGAAAACTTCGACTTAAAACTTACACTCACTATTTTCTTCGAAAATATATATGAGTTTCACAAAACATGATGTTACTAGGGCCATATAAAAGAAGAGCCTCCTAAACTCTAATCGACCAGAACAACATTATGTTTTATTCTCACAATAGTGGAAAAAAGCTTTGCTAGGATCAAGTTGGTTAAAGAAATAAGGTAGGAACATAGATTCTTTCATGTGTGACAAGATTTGATCAAACATTATAAAGTATTCTTATTTTTGAAAAATAGCTTTTCTTTGATAAACTCACAATTTTTCCGCTTTCGTTACCTAATAACAGTTAATTTTTCCGCGACCCGTTACTCGATAACTACCCAACCCAAATATTGATTATTATTATTATTATTAGAGAAAGCTATCTTCTGTGTCACTCAAACGGAAACAATGAGTTATTCGAGATGTCTTGAGAGAGCTTACTGAAGAAAAAACAATCGATTCCCGATGTTTTTATTGATCCCAATGGCTCCATTGATTTTGGGCCGAATCCAATACAATCATGTGGTTCTAACGCCACAGAATCAATTGTTTCCCATTTACTAAAACATGACTCTTTCAAAATCACAGAATTCATTCCGTCGAAATCTAGACAGAGTCGATCTTTCCAGGCGAGCTTATGGAGATCCATAGGAAAAATGGTAGGTGAGTGTGGGTGTGGGTCTCTTTTGTTTACTCACACCCACCCACACCTACACCCTCAAGGCGGACGAATGCTAAGCGATGATCATTAGAGAATTCGATCAACATATTGATTAAATGCAAAAGTTGTTTGGTACAAAATAGTTATTTTGGTTGTGACGAAAAATTTCTTTTGCAATCGAGTTTCATCATATTTTAAATGAGTTCGTAATGATATTGAGAACAAAAAAAGTAGGTTGAACAAGGCTTCGAAACGGTTGTTTATTTTTGCAACCGAATCAGACTGGCTACTTCAGCCTATTCAACCGGCTCGGACGAGTCAGTTGAAACTCGTGACTCAATCGACAGAAAATCAGCCAATTCAATTACAGAACTAACCGGCGAAAAATTGATACGTTTAAATGTATCAATTAACTTTCTAGTCCGTTGTAGAAAAAGGGTATAGGTGTGCATCTGAGTACGTGTGGGTGAGATGGTAGAAATTGATCTGGATCTGGACGAGGGTCTGGGCCTGAGTGCTGATGTTTCTGTGGGTTTGGGTTTGACTGAGAGTTTCAGTGTGGATGCCTGTGTGGGCGTGCTGTACATGCGATTGTTGTCATGGGTATGGATGTATGTATGGGTCTTATTTTAACCGACACTCGCATCACACTCACACCCTTTGTTTTGCCTGGTTTTTGTCAATAAGATATTATTGCTTTACAAGACTTGATAGTTTAATGTTCCCTTTTTTTGAAATTATTGTTTAACACAACTGGAAGGCTTCTCAATTTGTACAAGGCTACTTCTGCCGATAGAAAGACAAAATGAGCTACAAAGTTCGATTTTTATACTAGGCTTCATATTTTTAGGTTTCTTAATATTTACATATCGTCACAATTGAATGAGATAGCAGTTGACGAAAATTTCACAACAAAAAGGAATCTTTTCTGATATTTAGGTAACGAAAACATGCACTGAAACTAATAGCCATTGAGAGTTTCTGACACTTAAGTAAAAGCAGCCTAGAAAAGTGAGTTCGAGATCTTGAGGTGGACAATCTTTAATTGATATCTAAATTAACTTCTAATGCTGGTTAACTTTTCGTAGCCATAATCAATAAATTCAGCATGATTCGAAGTCTTTGTTATATTATGAGAAAGCGTGCGTTCAAAATTTGGGTCTGGGATTTTGACGATGGCTAGAATTTTGTCAGTTGGAAACTTTGCTCTCATATTTCTGGATAGTTAAAACCGTGAAAAATCGATAAAGACGAGCAAAATAGATAAATCGCATTGCCCTTAGAATTGATTAAAAAACGACCGGCGCTAAGAGTTCAACTGGAAGGAACTGGTAACCGGTAAATCGGTTGGCTCGCTTTCAGGCTTGAGTTGAACAATCAATATTATTGACTATGTATTTTCGAGCTAAATTACTCTTTCAACTAAAAGATGGAGTTGTTCGTTGATAAATCCGAACACGAAAACATTAATCATTTTCAATATTTTACAAAAGACTTCTTGTAAATATCAAATTGATTGTTCTGGGTTTGTTCCAAATCGCTTGTTTTATCACCTTCTCTTTCTCTTTTCTCCTTAGTTTCTCAAATAAACAAGGATTTAACTCTTACAAAACAGTACTATTAGAAAACAAGTAAAATCATCATAACTTAGCAACAAAGAGACATGCGGGTGAATGATTCTAGAATTTTCTCACTCTCGACAGACTCTACTCGATGAGATAAGCTTCATCGTAAATGAGATTGATAATCTGGAGATGTTCCATCTTCAACTATAATCAACTTTGGCGAAATAAGCATCGACCTATCGATTCAATTTTTCTATTTTCAACTCAGAGAGAAGAAACGTTTTACCTTCTTTTCTCGGTACTGTTTCCAATCGTCTGAATGTAGAAATACTAAAGTTTGTCTTCAACAGTTCCTATTCATTTTAATTTCGAACTTTGTTCTGATATAATCGATAAAATACATGAAGTTCGATAAATAGGTATACGATATTGATCAAATTTGATGAATAAGAACTCTTTTCAACATCTGCCATGTTTGCATCGAGCTAGAAATACAATGTGTCCTCACTGTCGGGAAGGTATGGGTGTGAGGATGAGGATAAACAAAAGAACTTCCTACATCCACATCTCTTTCGTTACAGTACAAGCTTAACTGTGACATAAAAAGAAAGATAAAAGCGATGATATCATACAAATTCTCTGTATCAGGTCCCTAATAATATATGTGGATTTTTTTCAATTAGCCATTTCTGTGATTGCTTGAATAGTGCCTACATAACACATCATATTTCTAATTGTTTTCATGTGTATTTCAGCGACGGTGTGGATGTGGGTGTAAGTCTTCAGTTGATCCGGACACCACTCACTAAATTATGTATATGCGATCGTATGTGAAGATGTATATATACTTTTATTCTAATAAAATAAAAGTAAAAGTTGTTCCTTATCAGCTAACGAGTGGTGTTAAGCGAAGAGATGTAAGTATGCATTGACAATAGAAGACATTCGATTGCTCTTGTATGAGAGGACATGAACTTTACTTTTTTTTCCTTTGATATGTATTAGATAAAGCTACACTTCTCATATCTCAGTAATCTATATACATACATTGTCAAATATTTACCTAACTTGATCATACAAAGCTCTGCCTTCACGATTGTTAGTTATTTAAAGAGAAGTGCATCAACATATTCGGGACATTTTTCGTGTTTAACAATACAATTTATACATAACACATTTTATCTTCAATAGATTCATGCAGAATCTTCTTTATTTTTTTGCATCCATCATATTTTATTGTTCAGTCCGAAGTCAAGATCATAGAGTAAGTCAAATCATCCTTTTGAACTTGTTTCAACATCTGATAAGACAAAAAAAAAGAAAACTGATGGAAGTTATTGTAATGAAGAAACAGGTGGCGATCGCCTTTAAAATGTCTCTAATGAAATGATATCATATCTCGGGTTTCTTTTTAATTGATGTTACCTACATGTAATAAATGAATTCTACATACTATGATCATTTTGTAGGTTGACATCAAACGGAAATAAGAGCGAAGGAGTTGTGGTCAAATCATAACTAATATTATTACTATAATGGAAGTCACAGTGCGAATTCACATGATAGAAAAATTAATCTTTATTGTCTTAAATGTGTAAAATATTGTCTTCAGAAAGAAATTGCTTTTCAAAGTGATCAGAATCCAATTGACACGCATCAAACAACAGAGATTCTGTTGTATTGTCATCCACCGAGAATAGTATGATCGAAATAAGATACGAAAAGAAGACATAAAATTTGGTTGTTTCTTACAGTGTTTGAGATGGTTGTTCTGGGACTATTTGTTCGTTAATATTCATGCATTATGAGAAGTGCATCTGAATTTGGACATTGAACTGAAATATTATTTGTTGTAGAATATTGAACAAAAGCTTGTTCATTTCCATTTTAGCTCAGATTTCTACGTACGAGGTCTTTTATGAAAAAAAGCTGATTTCGAAACCATATGATGGCCACTGAACTTTGTCAGTACTAGCAGGTGCAATTGATACCAATGTTCTGATTACACATGGATCGAATTCCACTTTTCTCTGAGGGATACCACTTACTATGAGTAACGTTTTCCTTGAAACAATCAGACGAAACCGTTTACTTTTGTGCTAACTTGCAAGAATAAGATCAATCAGATTGACAATTCTGTTGTCGATTTGCTCAGTCAAAAAGTTTTAGAATGTTTGTTTAAGTCTTTTCTGAGATTTTAGAAAGAAATCTACCGAATTCAATACGTATGCTGTACTTCTTTTTTCAGCAGTATCGCCAAGTTCATGATGCTTCTGGTCGTCTCCAACCGCCGCCTCCTTTCAATGAATCCTATCAAATGATTGTTTTAACCGGTGGAAAAGTTTATGGGACTCCGGTTGAGGCCAATACAGCAACAGAAGATTTGTGCATGCCTCATCGAAAAGACGTGGTCATGGCAGGTGGCAGAATATTGAGCATGATGGAACCATCAAAAACGGCTGCATTCATTAATTCAATCCGAGATAGCCAGTTGACCATTCTACCCATTTCTGTTCAAGATCAAATTATTATACCAGGACTCGTCGATGTCCACGTTCATGCCATTGGAGGTGGCGGAGAACAAGGTTTGCTGACTGATTTAGCCTTGTTATATGTTTCAAAAGCTATTTTTAAGAAATTCACACCGATCTGACTCACTTTTGCACTAGCTTTCTTTAGAGAAACAAACACTACTGTGTGATCAATGTACATTGATCGCATAGTTTATTCTAGTCAGTGGACAGTGATATTTCTTTTGAAATGATATAGATTTTGAATTCAAAAACAAATCCCCAAAATCGTAACACTATTGTAGGAATAGTTAAGACACATTACCATTGTCAATGAATACGTTCTACAGTCAGAGTCAAGTTCAACTTTGGTTTTCTCAAAGGTACAACGACTCCTTGTGTTTATTTTCTTTTCAGGCCCGTATTCTCGAACTCCTGAAAGCCATTTATCTCAATTGATAAGAGGTGGATTGACGACGATTGTTGGAATACTGGGAACTGATGGTGTTACGAGAAGGTTAGTTAAATTAAGGCATTATTTTTGATTGCTTTGCTTGTCATGATCCAATTTTCAATGTTTCTTCGCTTCTCACGATGCTCAATGCATGAATGATAATCATTCAAGAAAATCATAACCCATTGTACTATACAGCTTCAGAAATTGTAAAAGCATTCGATTTAATCGAGGATATGTTTCAGAAGAGGTCAGCAGCGTATTTTCTAATCAAGCATACGGATAGAATTCGTTTCATCTAAGTCATCGTACAAAAACTTTTCTTTCATGAGTCATTTTTTTACTTCATGTGACACGTTCTTCGACGTGCTTCACTGCCTATTGAATCTCCAGAAATGTTGTCATTCGTCTAAAGGATGCTTTGGACGCAATGACAATGTCGTGTCTTATTTTCTGATTATTATTCCATAGAGCCAAATAGAGAGATGTGACACATCCAGGTGTCACGACCATCAAATCGGAGCTTTCACCGTCAACATAGCTTTGCAAGCCAGTCTTTAAGTTTTGAAAGATTCTGGAAGGATTTTAAGGCTACGTGGTGTTATACTATTATCTTTTGTTTTAGTCTGTCCTCGTTGTTACAAAAAATGAAAGTAAGTTCTTTATATCAACAATTCTCAACATCAGAAAGAACTGAAATCGAGCAAAGAAATATCTCTATATACAAAAAGTCGTGTTGAGTAAAACACGACTGTTCACAGCGAACTTTTTTATCTTTGTTTTTGAATTATTTTTTAATTTCAGAGTCTGGAACATGATGGTCTTTCGACGTGGATGTGGACTGGAAGTTATCGTATTCCAATCGTTACACTCACCGGATCACTTCAACAAGATGTACTCTTGATTGATAAAGTCCTAGGAGCTGGTGAGTTAGCACTCAGTGATCATCGATCAAGTTGGCCATCGAAATCTGAACTTAAACAGCTACTTAGTGATGTACGAGTCGCTGGAATGCTCAGTGGAAAATCAGGTGTGATTCACTTTCATATGGGTTCAGCTCCGACAAAAATCGATTTGCTTTGGCAAATTTTAAACGAAACAACCATTCCAATTCAACACATGTATTTGACTCATATGTCATCGCGAGGAGATGATCTGATTGCGGAAGCCAGAAAATGGATCAAAGCCGGCGGTATGTGTGATTTTACTGCTGATGCAGAAATGCTCAATGAAACTGACACAATCAATACGTTGAATAAGTTTCGAGCAGAAAAATTACCATTGAAACAAATTACAGTATCCAGTGATGCTTACGGGTATGAATATTAGTTCACATTAGAGTACATTTTACTACTATAGAGAATGTAAATTTCTTTGTATTAACCCGAAAAAAGTGTTATCTTAAGTTTCTTCTTGTTTCCGATCTGAATCGAATTGGTTATAAAGAACAAAAAGTGAGCTATTTTCAAAGCATATTGCACATGCATTTAACTCTCTAGCTGATGTTGCAGTTTTCCTTCATACATTTCGTAAGAGTACTTTCGATTGATAGAAAACTTAATGATAAGCTTTAGGCAATATGAATCGGTTCTGATCAGAGTCAAATAGGATTTTTTGTAAAGGCAAGCTTTCGTTTTTACTTACTTGTACAATATAATTCGATGGAAAGAAAAAAAGAAATCGAATAAATTGAGTTTGACGCCTACTCTTTGCGTCGAGACTTGGATGTTCAATATTGTATAAGACATCTTGTTTGACTTTTTTCTAAAGAATATTTTTGAAATAATGATAAAAATTTTATTGTAGGATAGTACTGTTAAGAGAACTGACACGAACTAGTTCCTAGTCGAACCTGAACTTGATCTTGAAAACAAAACTTGCTTTCTCGTTTAGATCATTTCCTCAATACGATTCTTCGGGTCGCTTAATTTCTTATAGTATGGGTCTTCCAGATTTAACTTTGAGAACGATACAAAATTTAGTATTGAAACATTCATGGCCCGTCGAAGAAGCGATCCAATTTTCAACAGCAAATCCAGCAACATACCTCAATTTGAAAAGGAAAGGCTTTTTGGCCGAAGGTTATGATGCTGATATTCTTGTTCTGAATCAAACGGATTTGTCACCGTTGTATGTCTTCGGAAGAGGACAAATATTAAAAACACCAACATGGATCAAACATGATATGTTCGAACATATTAGTGGATCACCATGAACTTCCCGCAATTAACATGAAAAATAGTCTACATATTACCAAATCCGACGAACTTAACATTGAAATTATTTTTTAACTATTGCATCAATTGAACAATATTCGATATGATATTTTTCACGGCTTACTTGATTTGCTTCTCTATATAATGTCCTCTGCTTTCTTATCGATTTCATTTCGTTTTTGCTTATGTCGACATTATTTGTTAATAATATTAGTCATCACTCCTTTCTTTTTATTCTCCATTAACCATCAATTTTCTTCCTACAAAAAAAAACGTTGATGACAGCTATGTAGAAGTGTCAAAGATATGGGAGAGTGTACCATCATTTCGGTCAGAGTATTTGGACTGATATGATTATCAGAAGGTTCTTGTCAATAAATATCCATCATACATAAATATGTTGCAAATTGAAACAGCTACTCGATTGAAATTGATCGTTTGAAGCTAAGGAAAACTCGCTCGAAACAAGAATTGATTATAATGGCGTTTCCTTGTGCGAACTGCAATTCTTTTTCTTTGTCATTTATATCTATTACTCGATAAAATATGTGGGTGTTAGTGTGGCTGGCAGTGTATTCCTTAGCCTCAACCAAGCCGACACACTTACATCCACACCCATGTTTTGATTCTATGAAAAGTAGAGTCAACTGCAGGTGGATCGAGTGCTACCGAAGACTAATCAATCATTGATGCTCATCAACTGTGGTGCGCATAAAATCGACTGAAGTTTAATTTCGTTGATGAAAGCGATGAAAAACAGTAGCATATTGTTAATGAAAGTGAGAATATAAGAGAAAAGCACCTGTCTTATTTACTGTTTGAAACAGTTCACTGTTCCGAAATGAAACTGATTCTAAATTGCCATGTCGACATTATCAATCGAAGAAGGACGGGATATATTTTAGCATTCTGATCTCATGAGTTCTCTAAACTCATTATAATCAATATCAGATCTGGAATCAAAATAGCCAATAGATCGTGCATCATTTCCGACATCATCGAAATATACATTATTTCATCGATTTCCTTGAGTGTGAATATAAGTGGATATGGATGTGAGATGTGAGATGTGAATACCAGTGTGGATGTTCGTGTGAGATGTGGCTATGGCGTGTTAGTGTATTTGTGAGAGTTGTACTTCTCACTGGTATAATCAGCAATAAACGATCTTCTTATTGATAAGAAAATAGCTTGTAAGAAGTTAATCGGCTCATAGTGAATTTGTTTGATTTTGAAACAATCATACCTTCAAATTAATATCTATTTTAATAATCATAATGATAATAAAAAAATAGAACAATGTACAAATGTTTTGATAGCATATACACCAAATATATGGTGAAGACAAGCAACATACAGAACCGAAGTGAGCATATAAAAATTATTCTTATCCTGTTCTCTTCTGTTCTGTCCTGCTGTTACTATGTGTTCTATTGAATGGTAGGGCAGAATTGGAGCACCACTCCGTTATGTGCTTTGCTCTGAAGTGAGTCTCAAACTACCTTCACAAGAAGCCTAACAAATTGACACATTATGGCGGTACTTAAACACGATGGACACTTCACTGACTACACTCCAGATCCACACCCAAGCTCATAGAAATATCACACCTAGCTAATAATTTTCCATCATTGATCAATTTTTTCGTGTGCAAATTTGAAACATTCGTATCTCTTTTCACTTCATTCGATTAATTGATAATGATCAATAGTCTCAAACTCGAAGGAGTATATCATCGATCTCGTCTGATTCGTGCTCGACAAGAACAATGACAGTGATGTACTAACATTCAAATCGAAGGCCTGAAATGAATCATATTGGATGAAAACTCAACAATGATTGATAATTTCACAAAGATTGATCAATAAAAGATCAAAAATATCGAGCAATGCATGTCAACACAAAAGATTTTCGAATATTCGGTTTCTCGTCGAATTTCTCGCACATTGATTTGATTGAAATTCTAAGTCAAAGATGATCGAACATAATGCTCGACTCGTATGAAATTGACATCTAGGCAATTTCAAACGAATGTCTGGAACACATCGAAACAAACTTTTGCAGCGATTCGAGTATTATCTCATACTCTGAGCATTTTTCAGGATTCGATCTCATGCTGAACTTAGAATAACATCGATATAGATATTAATGCAAAAATTTAAACGAATACAGAAACATGACAACAAAGAAAATGTCTATAACAGCATTAATAGGTGTCATTACTGTATAATAATTGTGCGTGGCCGAACTGTTATAGCCGTAGCAGGGATATTTAAATTATTTGATGACATATTTGGCCCGTGATTCGTCAACTTTCGACGACAAATACGAGGCATTATTTTCCAAACAAGTTTTTGAATATTTTTGCGAAATGTTTTTGAAACGATAAAATTTGAATAACAACTTAGAGAAGCTTGTATAAATACGAGATTTAAACCGAAATCGAGAAGAAAATAATCCAATGCCTGTTGTTCCAGAGTTTTTCTTTCATTTGGAATTCTTTGTGTATAAACATAAAGGATTGATCCTATCGATGAGAAGACAACAGCAATAAGAATTTCAAATAATAACATAATGGCTAATTGACGATCTTTCGATGATAATGCAGTGATATTATTTTGATTTGTGGTTGGTTGAACTCGAGATCGTCGAAAATTTCTCATTGTCATCATGCCAAAGATTGCCATTAGTAAAGGAGATAAAAAACCGCTTATTGTCATCGTAGAATAGCTCATAAACACTGAATAAACGCCAGGTTCGAAGAAACAAATATAAAAGCCAGGAGCAGGTGATTGAATATTGGTAAGAAACCAAATGGGAAAATAGTACAGAAGCCACAGAAGAGTTATGCCACTAATTGTCCAGAAAGCCAAACAACGAGTACTTCGCTGTCGTATCCGTGCATTACGAGAAGTGACTAATGTTCGGTCGATTGAAGCCAAAATCAGATAGTATGGTGGTAGTATGGTGAGCACATCCAATAGATATGTTCGTAATCGACAATAAATCAGATTGGATATAGTAAAATCGATACCAGTCATGTAACGGTAAACAAATGGGATGAGACAAATCCATATAACAAGAATATTGCCTATGTTAAATGCAATAAAATAGATGGAACCTGGATTTTTACGCATTGATTTCTGTCCAAATACACACAGACAGAACAATCCGCCTATACTTCCCAGAATGATCTGTATTGGTCCACAAATTCTGTAAAGATTAGTTGTGGCCATCTGGTACCTTATAACTGTATCCAAAGGTGACATTGTGTATTTGATTCGTTGTGCGGAGATTCGTTTCTTATGCACTTCCTTAATTAGAAAAGTAAATTTCAATTATGAAAAATAGATTTTCTTCTCTTCAATTGTTACCTGTATTATTCCATGATTAATCGAGGATCTTTTTAGATCGATGCATTTGGACTATCTAATAACTTTCAAATAAAATTTGCACAGATAATAAAAAATGTGAAATGTACGCCATACAAGCATAAAGTGTAATGATCATTCAAACACTAGTTATACTTTTATATAAGTCTTCAAAATAGACACTCTCGGATAGGTCATCTGTGCTTAAGATTTACGTCTTTCAGATCATCTTTTCTAGTATCAAATGAAATTTTAACGATGTTAGAAACTCGCCGTGATCAAAGCTCTACAGAAGATGATAGTAATGTCGCCTCATTTCATCCTATTAGGCGATGAGAAAAAGTAGATAGAGAGAAACATGACGGAACATGAGAAAATGATTGACAGTAGCTGGAATAGCTGACATTGCAGATTGATTCCATTTCCTTTTTGCTCATCGATGAATCATGACGACTAGATCTTGGCCTAGTGCATTGTGATTCACGCTGAACGAGTGTCATTCTTCTCATGAACATAATAAGCTCGGTAACATGCTGCCTTGATTTTATAATTCTAACTCAGTTCGTGGTCAGTTTCTCAGAACCTGCATTATTGTGCCAATTCATTTTCAGAATTATATCAGTAACTTTTAATTAATCTTTTCTCTTCCTAATGCTATTAGATAGAGTGCTTTCTGTCTTCTGAAAACTATGTTTTTCAAGCGAAAAGCTCAACTAGATTATTTCTTTTAGCGCTTCTAGCTCAATATTATTATTCGGACAGATAATATCCTAACATCGTTGTTCTAGTATTCTATGGTGGTTGAATTATAATGATGAGAAAGATCCTCTTCCATCGTTTTCGATTGAACTGGTGATATTGTAGTAGCGTAACTATGAAACTCTTCCTCGTGTGAATAATATTCAGACATGTGATGAATCATTATGTATATAAGAAGTCCTATACTCTCTAATTGAAAAGAAAATTGCCAGCATTGATAAGGCATGTCGAAGCCAAATGAAAAATATCCTGGAAGTGACATGATACTAACTAATTTATCATCATTTCACAGAGCTCTACTTTTTAATTCTGTTGTCAGATATCTTCTTCTATGATAATTCTGATATAATTAACAGAAGAAGAATAACAATCTCGTTTCTCGTTTTCTGGTCAATCTTGAAAAATGTTCTGGATGAGATATTCTGAAACATAGAAGGAGATATGATTGCAATTTTTTTCTATTCAATCAACAGAATCGTAGTTTTAACTTAATCACACAAAAAAGCGGTTAATTTTTATTAGACAATTTAAGAACAATGAGAGATCTCAAGAATTCTTTCAAGTATTATGAATGATTTGCACGTGTTACAGTATCACATCACTCATTCCTGTTCTTCGATTCACTTGTAAACTTGACATCAAAAGACGGTTTAGCAAAATACTTTCCCATACTCTTGAATCTCCTGTACCAAAATATATGTGTTCAGAAGCCACTAATACATTTGTTTATCTTGAAACTGAGAATTTCGAACGGTTGTCAGCATTCCAAACAGAGTAGTCCCATACCATTATTGTTAAAGTCACATTTTGACTGGATCGAGGGAAACGAAGTAATCAGTCTCAAGCAATAATTCTTTTTTTAATCTATG